CTGTGCAGAACCAGGTTATTTTACCTGCTGCACAGGAGGATCCATAAAGGACCTTGCCCTGAGGCACAGGGTTTATAGATTTTATTTACAGGTAATAATCTAAAGAAATAGATTGGTTTTTTTCATATAAACTTATGAAAATTCCAATCAACACTAAAGTTTTAGTTTATATTACTACTTTTACACAGCTTTAGCTACAGTTTCTCTTCTGTTCTGTAAATTGTATTAACATCCACGTTGATTCTAGAAGTTTCCTCATACATCCTTGAAACAAGCTCCTTGGGATCTTTCAATCTGCAGCTAAAATCTGTATTCAAAGCTGTTACAAAATCAGAAGAGAGAGCCTTTTCCTTCAAGCATTGTTCTTGAATGTCTTATGCCCTGAAGTCCTCCACACATTCCTAATTTCACTGTCATTTCATTTATTTATTTTTTTGAAAACAGACATAGGAAAGCTGACAGATTTCTATATCCAACAAAGAAAGGAGGCAGTTAGAGAAAAGCTGATTCTCCTTATGGCTTTTGTTTGCTTAATTATCATTTCTCCATTTTCTCTGCTTGCACTAACCACTAAAATGTCATAAAGACATCTGGAAATTAAATCCTAATTCATTGGGAACTGCCTTCTTCCTGAGTTAAATGATAGTTCTCTAACACACTGAATTCTTCTGCTCTTTCTCTTGTAGTTTCTCCATTTTCTCTCTTTGTGGGGGTGTGCAGCCTGCATTTGAATTTTATTGTTATGTTGTTCCCTGGGCAACTCCAGTTCTTAATTCTGACCTCCCAGTGTTACTTTTTCCTCACCATCTTTCTGTATTAGTGCAGCCTGGTAACATTCTTGAAAAATAAAGGCTGGAATTCAGATCAAATTGGCAAAAAATGTCCCAGCACATAAACTCCATGTTCTTTATGGAGTCTGTATTAGACCCCTCTCTCTCTCAGATCAGTGACTAACTCTGACAAAGGCATAAAACCATTTATTCCTCTCAGGCCACCTTCCAACAGCCTTTTCAGTTATAAAATTGTATTTGGGGCTTTTCTGTTAAATCCCTTGGGTCCCACACTCCCCTGCAATGCACAGCATCCCCCTCCCTCCCTTCTCAGAGACACTGCAGGGTTTGGCTTGTGTTCACCTCCTCTTGGCACGGACTCTCCCAGGGCATAAAATGAAAATTTGGGGTGAGTTTATCTCAGCTGAGGGTCAGATGCAGGTGTTCAGGGAATGCCAGAACAGCAAAGCTCTGCTGCCTTCACTCTTTACTCATCTTGCTGTTGTTTTCTGTTCCCATTTGTTATCTCTTGTTGTAGGTTATTGCTGAATTGCCCAGTTCCTCCTGCACTCATTTCTGCATTACAGATTGACTCCAGGAAAAAAAAAATAAAGAAAAGAGAAGCAGTCTTCTACATTGTTTCTTCTCCCTCAGGCTCTGGAGTTTTGCTCCACACAGGCTCATTTTCCCTGCCTCAGACACTGCTGTGACCTCCCTCAGCCCTGAGCTTTGTCCTCCTGAGCTTTCTACATTTCCTTTGCCCATTTCTACTGTCAAACAGTGCCCAGCTTTTGTTCACCATTTTTTGCCTCTAACTTCTATATCTTGAGAAATTCTTCTTGCAGAAACACCATCTTCACTGAAAACATCATCAACTGTATCAAGTCATTTTTACCTCCTGAGCTATTTTATTTTAAAATTCCCTTTGTGTCCTTATGGCAGCAGCTGAGTCTGTTCTGCTCTTAATGGAGCAAGAGGCAGCAGTGGCCACTGAACTGTTCTGGGTTTACTTCATTGGTAATGAATTTTAACTAAAATTCTACCAATGAGAGTGGATTCCTAAATAATTTTGAAAGCCTGCAAAAAAAATTTATTCTTGGCATATATTCAAGTTCTGCAAAAGTTACAGAATTAATGAGGTATGTGGGTTATGTGTTGCTTTTTCAGCTTGGTTTTCCCAGTCCTCAAACCCTTCTTTTCTTCAATAAAAGGTGAACTCCTGCAGAACTGGAGTGTTGCTACAGGGACGAGTTCCTGCACATCAGGGGAAATGCTATGACAGGAGAAAGGGCTAAGAGAGGCAGATTTACATCTCCTTTATTTATGGCTGGTGGCTCCAGTTGCAGGTTAAAACCATTTGATGCCACCAAAGGGAAGGAGCTGTAATAAGATGAGCTCTTCCTTGGAATGCCTGGGCAGAATTCCCTGTGCCCTGCAGAGGTGGGGCAGCACCACCTGGAAACTTCCAAATTTCAGCTCTGCTGCTACTGTGGGCTTGTGAGACCCAAAGCAAAGGCCCAGGAGCAGGTCCTGAGTCAAACAAACTTACTCACTGGAGTTTCTGACACTTCCTCAGGATCACTGTGTACATGGATCCCCCTGGGAATTTCCCTGCTGCTCTCCAGAGGGATTTGGCTCCCAAAGTGGAACTCAGCATGAAGCCACGCTGGTCAGGGCTTTGCCTTCACATCTCAGTGTCTTTTAGGTGCAGTCTGTCTCTTAAAAGAATTCCAGGAAGGTGGGAAGCTGGGAGAAAAGAGTCCATACTCACTGTGTGTGGTTTTATTTCAACAGAAATTTCCTTGGATGAACGCTCCCGTTCAGGTTGGAATAGTTGGAATCTGGTAAGTGGTTTCCTTGGGTTGGGTCTGTTATCTTAAGAGATACTTGTAGGGGTTTTAAGAATGCAGCAATATTTGCCTTTTTTTTTTTAAGGAAAAAAGGTTGAGAGTTGCTGAGGGCACAGCAGTTATTTCCATCTCTGTAACTGATAAAATATCATGTTAAAAACTAAAAAGCCGTTAGCAGGGAAGGAGCTGCCAAGAAAAGCAGAGGGAGGGGAGAAAGGGAGTGGCAAAAAAAGGAATGTGGCAGCTTGATTAGAAAAGATGCTTTGGCTGCTACCTCTAAACAGTCAGTGGAATCTCATCCTGGAGGGTGATCACTCTGGAAACATTTGGTTAATGGGGTTTAATTTGCTGTGTTCTGGCATTTTCTGTTGTCATGCACAGAAAGGTAAAGCACTGTAAGGACATCAAATGGTAAATTTAGACAAATTTGGGAACATTATATTGAAACATTTAATGCTGTTTGTATGTAATGATTTCATAAGGTACAATGCAGTGAGAAATAAAAGTTACAAAGCACTTCGTGGAACTTTACCTCGCTGTGTACAGAAAACAAGCTTTTTACTTAAATCATGTATAAGATTTTTGAATTCTGTTTTAGCACCTAAATATTGTAAACCTGGTTTTGTCTCCTCTAGTCTCGTGTTTGCAACCCCCCTGTGTTGTGCACTGTTTCCTCAGAAGAGGTGGGTACTGCTGTGAATTATTACCTCAGTGTTATTCCAGATCCAGTCATGGCTGCACAGACACAAACACAAGGTCATTGCCTGCTCAAGCAGTTTTAATTCCCATATAACAAAGGTGATAAACAAGAGAATATACAGAAGAAAAGTAATAACTATGTTATTCATCAGTAATATATAATAGTTGTTTACAAACCCCAGCAGCTCAAGATGAGTTCTATACAACATATTCATGTCCAGTAAGGTTATGGATGCACTAAATACAGTCAGAGCCCATTTTATTTTCAGCTGGAAACTCTTCTATTTATAAAGAACAGCACTGGAATATCTGCGCTCATTTGTTATTTGGTTAATATTTTTCCAGACTTTTTCATCAATACAGAAGTAGCTCAGTACTGAAAGCAGTCTTAGAAACAATATTCATTATAGCTGAAATCCTTATGAAATCTGAATGAGTTACTTAAAAAATTTTGCTCAGTTTGGTACATAGTATGGCCAGGGCCTTAAATTCAGCTGTCCCTCTCATTTTAATAGTAGTTGTCTAAACTCAGCAAGCTCCCAGCTGTACCTTAAACAGCCCAAGCTGGAGCTGAGTCCATTAAAATGCTGAACTAAGGCAGCTTTTGACTTCCAGAAAACAATAGCCAATTCTCAGTGGTGTTTGAGTACAACAGAGCTGACACCATTTGTCTCCCTGCTTGGCCTAGGACAGGGAACTGTGGTAAACAAGTGTCACTAGGCTACCTGGAGATGACTTGACAAACCAACCCAGCACACGTGCTACAGTTCTTGATTTCAGCCAGGGCTCTCCAGTTCAGAGGAAGATTAGACCTTGAACTGTGTTCAGGAAATCGCAGCTGTTCAAATGACCTGGCAGCTTACTTCACTTTACTGTGAACCAGCTCTCATAAAAACAAACCTTGTATTCAACTGAATAAAATCACATAGTAAGTTAAATAGGAAAATACATTCTATTTAATAAAAATAATTTTAGGAAGGTAAGTTTCAATTGCCAGCAACAACCTGAGCAATGAAGTGGATCCTTACCCTCATGGTAATAGCAACAGCCATTTCCTGACTCCATGGGCTGTCCCACTGCCCTTGGAGCAGGGATTCATGTGCCCTGGTCTGTCAGCCTGTTTCCTGGATAAGATATTTTAAAAGATCTGAAAACTCTTTTGACAGATACATTGTCCATCTTGTTTTCTCTCTGGTGCTTGTTTGGTGTAACCCCTTCCCTGTTTCTTTTGCTCAGTTCCATGTCGGTGTCACGCTTGGAGCCAGATTTGCGAGCCAAGATCCGAGCCAGCTACCCTGGCCTAGAACGTGTATACTTCAATAAAGGATTATAACTCAAGGAAGGCAAAGTATCTTTCAAGGAGGAACTTATGAACTTATTTTTTGAATTGTGTGCCAACATAGACAAGAACACCTTTATCTTGTTCTTTTGTTAAACAGGTTGATCATCTGCGTTATTTTACAGTTGAAGACTTTCCTCAGTATAGTGTTTAAATCACATAAGGTCACTTTGTCCACTTTGGTATTGTTTGAAAGTTTAAACATACATATCCAGAGATGTTTACATAAGTCTCAAGCAGCTACAATAACAATAAAGAAGCGCACAATGAAAACCAGACGCTATTATATTGGATTTGCCACCTGTTCCAGTAATAGTGGGGCAGGGACCTCCTTTTGAAAAGTCATAGAGCAACTGAACGAAGTTGCCAGCCTCTGGTAGCCGCAGGACGGGTGGCTGAACGTGTCAGGATGTTGTGCAGGAAGGGCTTTTTGCCAGGAGGCTGATTGGGCTGCAGGTTCTCCCTGTTGGCACAGAAGCGTTTCTTGGAGGCGGAGGTGGGCGGCGCCTGCAGCCTCTGCACCGTGTGGTACTGCTCAGCAATGCAGGCGGCCTTCTTGCGCAGGTCCAGCTTCACCAGCACCATGTTGTTCTGCAGCTCTGCCAGGGTCTGGTCCTGAAGACAAGATACAAATATATTTTTAAAATATAAAAATATCGAAATAAAAGCCCATAGAAATAAAAGCCCATTCCGAGTTGGAGCAGACCTTAAAGATCCTCGTGTTCTCTGTTGTGGACAGGGACAGCTTTTACTAGACCAGCTTGCTCCAAGCCCTGTCCAACCTGGCCTTAAAATACTTCCAGGGACAGAGCAGCCACAACTTCTCTAGGAAATGTATTTTCAGTGCTTCAGCATCCTTACAGTATTTTTTCCTAATATCTAATCTAAACCTCAATATGAAGCTATTCCCCCTGGTCTTGTACAAAAAGTCCCTCCAGCTTTCTTCTATGCTCCCATCAGGTACAATGAGAAGTTGTCTTAACTCCCTGGTTACTGTGAACTGAGGAGGATAAACAGCCTTTTGCCAAAATTCACTAACTGTTCTGCTAAATAAGACCATGCATAAAAGCTTCTACTGTGAACAGTGTAGCAGTTCAGTAGCACATAGGAACAGTAAGGGTGGGACAAAGCTGACTCCATCCTGCTGCAAATATGCTGCCATAGCAACTGTGATGGAGTGGATAAGGAAATGAGAACTCTGAATTCTCCTACTTTAAGTGCAGGCTGCCAGTGAACTGAACAGGAACAATTTGGGTCTCCTGTGGAGAGGTAAATACACAACTAACTCAGCCATTGAAAAAAATCAACCACAGAGCTCCCTTCACAAAATATGCACTGGCAAATAAATAATTTGATTTGCAGCAGCAAGAACTTTGGTTGCTGTGATTATGGCAAAGCTCACAGACTGGACCCCTCTCCCCCATGCAGCCCACACCAAAGTAGACAATCACCTGTCTTGCCAGGATGTCATCACACATGCCCAGGGCTTCTCTCAGCTTCCCTGCCCCTGTGCTGTGGCAGCACGCTCGCTCTGCAGACTGGAGAGACTCCCCAATTTTGTGTAACTCTGCACGCAGCAATCTGACGTTCTGGAAGAGAGCGGTTTAATGCAACAGCTGGTTTGGGCACTGCTCTGCAAACAAAGCCACCCCAAGGTAATTCAGACATGCAGCACTGAGGGAGGATCGGATACTAAAATCTTCAGCTCCTGTAAGTTGAACAAACCCATTTCATTTGTTTAAAAACCTGGAAACAGCAGCCCCAAACTCTCTTTAAGCTGCATCTGCCCTGCAAATGTTATTTTCTGTAACACAGAACTGGAGTTACCTTCTGTCCATCCTCCAGCTTCCTATCCACATCCATAGTAATGGGTTTGGCAGAGGGAGGTGGTTCCACTAATTTCTGGTACTTGTGCAACTCTAGGAACAGACAAAAAGTAGTGAGAAACAGGACATTGATCAGCTTTCAGTATTCCTGAAATTCAGGACTTCCCTTGAGACAAGCTGCCACAGGCGAGCTGGAACAAGCTTTTGAGTTTGTGCAGAAAGGCACAAACATTCCAGGCTTCTCCCATTCACTTAGACAAAGGGGCTTAAGAATCTGAATGGAAGGATTATCCTGTGCTAAAGTCCATTTTCCTGTGAAAATGAAGTGAAACTGCCCATCCAGCACATACATTATTCCTGTCACCTACAAGTCAAATCATGTTTTGAGGGTGCCTAAATCCAATGTACCCTGAAGGAAGTCTCTCTAACCCTGCACAGGGAGCTCTCAGCAGGGTTCAGAACCTGTGCAGCATCGCTGCTGTACCTGCACTTGTGGAATTCAGCTCCTTCTGACACAGCTCCAGCCTGGCTTTGGTGTCTGCCAGCTCCTGCTGCAGAGTGGACGAGGTGCCCGCTCGCTTGGATCGACGTACGCTCTGCTCTGACTCCTTCTGCTTGGCATCCAGGCTCTCCAGCTTTTGTTTGGTCTCCTTCAGAGCAGCTTTGAGCTCCGAAATCTCCTCGTCACGCTCCTGAGGAAGGAAGTTTGTTCAGAGAGTCAACAAGATTTTTGTAGCACAACTTGTGTGAAATGTTCTGTGTCTTTATTCCTGGAGAATTTTTCAATCCTACACTTCACACATTGAACCCAGCCTTTAAGGTTACTTTTAAGTGAGTACAGCAAACCCACTTCCTGGGAGCCTAAAGCACCTTTTTACAGGCTCTAAAGAAGAGGGATTGTTTTGGGAGTTGGTATCTTCAGAGTAGTCTGCAAGAAGTCCCAGAGGTCACTCAAACGCTGTAGGCATAAAAATATGGACAGATCCATACCCATCATCACAACTGAGAGCAAGAAGAGAACTTTACACAGCTTGTGTGAATCTGAAGAGCCCAAATCCAGCCACTAGTGGGAAGAGTTAAGGGGAGAGATAATCATGTGGAACAAATGGACAAATCAGGATGGTTGTACATTAGCTTCCAGACTGACTGTTCAAAATTAAGAAGCCTCGTGGGCTACATAAAGTAGGAGACAAGAAGCAAAAATTGTGGATCAAGGGATGAAATAATATCACCAAAAATACCTCAGAAAGCAAAATCTTTCTTTTCACTTTGCATAAAGATCTTCCTGCACTCAAGTACCCAGAGTCCCTTCCAAACCCACTGCTGCTTTCCTGATTGCCCTGAACAAACCTGCATCTCCTCCTGGTAGTGGTCAGTCAGTAACTCCTTCAGGATGTTCATTTTACCCTCGTACAGTTCCTCCAGCTGCTCTCTCTGAGCATCCACGTGCTGGCTACAAAGAGAACAACCAATCCCACATCAGGATCTGGCAGTTCTGGGTGCTGCAGCTCGTCCTGAGCAGAGGGAGGGAGAGCAGCACAGGCTGTACCTCCACCACTGCTCCTTCTGTTGCATGTGCTCCAGCATCTCGTTGCAGATCTCCTCGCGCAGGCGCATCTCGAGCTGCAGCTTCTTCTGCCGCTCCTGCGCCAGCAGCTCCCGCACAGCCTCGACCGCGCGCAGCAGGTCCTGCAAGAGACACAGCTCTGCTGCCCACGCTGCACTACAGAGCTCAGACCTGCAGTAAACTAAGTGATGCCATGTCTGCAGGATGCAGGGATCTAGATTTAAGGAAAGAAAAAGTTGCCAGGGTTTGCTACCTCAGCACATGACAGTTTGAGTCTCTGTAGAGATGACTTCATCTTGAGCATTCAGCTATCCCCACTGCCTGCTTTATCTAGGAAGTTTGATTATTTTTCCCCCATTTAGATTCCTGTTCTGAATGTTTTCTAGATTTCCCTTGCAGAAAAAGAATTACAGGTCTGCACCTGTACTGTTACTGCCACTTTTCCACAGATGACAAAGTGCTTTCAAATTCAGCACGTGTATCAGATTTAGACCAACTGCAGAATGTTTTTGTCAAGGATTCCCAGTTTCCTGGGTCCTTTTTCCTTCTGAGGTTTTGTGTCATCTCTCTTGGCTCTCTCTGAGCTCCAATCCCAGCTCCCTAGGCCAAAGCTAACAGTTGTGTTCTTGACCTTGCATCCACATAAAGGCTGTAAAACAGATCACAACCCACCTTCTTCTCATACATAGAGACATCTGCCTCATCCTCTGTGTCTTCTTCTGATTCCACATCTTCCTCTGGCTCTGCCTCTGGACCCTGGCTGATTCGCCTGTGTTCTTTGATGATGGATTTTAAGGATGGAAGTCCCAGCTTTGTGGGAGGTGCCTGAACAAGCTGAAGGGGAAAAGACCACCGTTATCAATCTGCAAAGCCTGGAAGTTGTGTGGTCTTTAAACACAGCCAGCCCCTCTCTGCAACCTGTCAGCCATTTCAGTTTAGCAGAATCTGGAAATACTCTGGAGGTAATAACCAGTGGAGAGAAGCATAGGGATGAGGTACAAGCATGCCCTCTCTCCTTGTGGTGGGAAGGGACCAAATCCCACAGAAGCAGGAGAAACCCAAGCTACCCTGACCATGCCATGATCCTGGTGTGTGTTACCTGGCTGGCAATGGCTGAGAACTTGGCTACGTGCAGAGTCTCATCATAGGTGGAAGCACACTGGTTGATGTTGACAATCATGCAGGAGCGCCCGCGCCCGGTGAAGAAGCCCTGGAACACGCGGGTCAGTTTGCTGTCCCGGAACGGAACCACCGCCTGCTTTGTCCTGGAGGAGAGACACCAGTGAGCTGGGAAAGCAAAAACAAACCCCCACACCCTCCCTCTGGAGGAGTGGCTGCTCACCTGGCCTGCTGGTTCTGGCGGAGGGCGGCGATGCAGCGGCCCAGGGTGTGCAGGGAGGTGTTGATGTTGTTGGCTTCCTTCATTCGCTCCCCGCTCCTCTGGTCCTTGCAGCGCTCAGAGCCCGCCAGGTCACACAGGGACAGCCTGAGGGAAACACAGGGATACTCACATCTCTTACAGCCTTTGTCCTGCCATAGCAGGTTTACCCTTCAGACACCCTGCAGTCACCTTCCCAGCTTCCCCATAAGGGCACGACCACTCTTTTGGGGTGCCTGGGCTGTTGATGGATAGAAGAGCCTGCCTTAAGTGTAGGGGTCACACAAAGTAACAGCAAAATGAGCTTTGAAGTGTCAACTTCTAAGATCCTTTGTCAATCCTCAGAAAAGCCTTTTTTCCAGATAAATACATCCCAGGAACAGGCACCAGCAGCACTCAAATCAGCCTGCTGCAAAGGTAAGGATGCTCACATTTATCTTCACTCAAAAAGCCTGAAAACTACCTCAAATTGTACCTTGCAGTACTTCTCAAACTCCTGTCAATTCCAAGACTTAACATTCATTCCATCCAAGTATACTTTCAACACCACCATCACCAAGATACTTCCCATACCCCAGGCCCTCAACCAAAGAGACAAGAAAGCTGAGATTACACCCAAATCCTAAAAAACCATGAAACTTACTCGCTGATTTTTGGAACAACTTCTCTGGCACCTCTTTGCAAGTGCAGAATGCGAATGGAGAACACACTGTGACTGTAAAGAAACATGCAAATATTTACAAAAAAAAAAAAAGACAAACTTTAAAAGCCCCTCAGAATTGTATTTCTGCCTAAACAATCCCTCTCCCTTCAGACCTGCGACTGGAGTTCTGGTTCATGTGGGTGCTTGCAAAACTCTGGTTTTTCCGACCCAGTTTCAGGAGCTTCCAGGCCTCATCAGCATCCCGGACATTGATCCAGTTCAGATCTGGAAAGCAAGCATGCATTGGGCACAGCAGTTGGGAGACTGGCAGAAAACTTATCTCAGCCCCAACCTCACTATTGTATATCCTTGTATATCCATCAACCAATTTGACAATCCTGTAATCCCAACATCAGAGCTCTTTATGGGGCTCTCCTGCACATCACTGCTAAGCCACCCACCCACTCAGTCCTAAAGCCTCCCTAGCAGGCCACCAACCCTCTCCTGCAGGCAAGCCCACCTTTCACATAGGGGTTGCCAGTCTGGTCCTCGCAGAGCCGCAGCGTTTGCCGCTTGCGGTTCTGCCCAGGCAGAGCTGGTTCTAACAAGTCATAGATTAACTCGTTGTAGATCTCAAAGAAAGAGACCCAGATGGAGAACTGCACATCTTCTGGGCTGCTGAGTGAAATGCGATCCAGGTCAGCCCAGCAAGGGCCCAGTTCTGGGGAAAAAAGAGGAAAAAAAGGAAGGAAAACAAATCATGATTGCAGCTTTTCATGGGTTCAACAGAATGGTTTAGGTCTACAGTAAGATACTTCCATCAGCAAGCAAAACCACCCCAGCACAAATCCTTTCATTTACTTCCTCTCATGTGCATCTATTCTAATGCCTGTCCCCAGTGAGACAGTCTAAAGCTTCTTTTATCAGTATCACCTGCTCTGTGTAAGGACTTTTACATACTCAAGTTTGATTCCAGAATTGCAAGATATTTCAAACATGAACTGTTTCCGGCATAACTGAAGTTTTAGTCCTCGTTATCTCCATCACTCCATGCTTCTGGATACCTAAGCAGCTGGTAGTTCCTGGCTTTGACAGTCAGAGCACAAGTGCTCAGTGCAGCCTGCCACTTTGGCATCCTGCTTCCCAGTAATCCCCATCTCACAGCAATCAGCTGCTCAATAACCACATTCCTTGAATGAAGTGAGTGAATGTCAAGTAATTTCTCATTTCACGAGGTTTGGTTATTATGGAGTGGAGAATTCTTCTGATATTGGCAAAATATATGCAGAGTTCTTCTGACGTGGCATCTTTCAAAGGGAAAATCTGAGGCTGCAGCACCTTTGCTCCCTTACCCAGAACACAGCATCCAAACAGCCATCACCCTTTTCTTCCCCCATGCTCCAGCAAAAAGCAGCAGGTAGTACCCAACAGGCTTCCAGAAATACCTTCTGTCTGGCTGAGGTCTGAACGGTTGGTGAGCTGGCTGGATGAAGACAGCCCAGCAACTCCACTGTCAAAGCTGCCACTGGTGGCCTGGAGCCGAGATTCAGCACTGTGACTCCTCTTCATGGGTGTCAGCAGCTCCTCCTTGAAGGAAACAAGGAACAGGAGCATGCAGGTAGTGTGACACCACCCCATTCCTCTTGCTGTTGAACCCCCAGAGGCCTGTGCTTACCTCCCAGAGTCCCCTCTGCAGCATCATCTGCTTCTTGGTCTCCTCCTGGCGCACCTGCCTGCTGTCCAGCCAGGTCACCTCGTTGGAGAGGGCAGGCTTCAGGTCCATGGCCTGGTACAGCCGGTCCCCCACACTGTGGAAGATGGTGGCCAAGGAGCGAGGCAGAATGCCCCCATCCTGGGCAGTGCCTGCAGCAAAAGCAGCAGCAAAGCTGAGGATTCAGAGGCAGAAGACAGAAAACAATTCCTTCAACAGGCCCCACAACACCTGGTGCTGTCCTTACCCTGAATTGTGTGAGTCTTCCCTGAATTGGTGATGCCATAGGTATAAACCAGACAGTTCTGCCCACTCAGCACATCCTTTACCACCTGCTTCATTGTCTCATCAAAGAACAATTTCTGCCCAACCTCTGGTCCAAAAATCTGCAAACAAGACATAGGAAAAATGGCTTCATGTAGATCTTTCCTATCTTTAGCTGATGGTTGCTCAAGTGATATTACATGGTCCTTTGTTCCCTGCAGTAGCCATGAGCAAGATACCCACCAGCAATTCCAGCTGAGCTCCCTACAAAAACAAGCTGCTCATTTATTTAATCCAATAACATATCATTGCAGCCCCTAGTCTGTCTAGAGCCTCATGAACAGGAGTTTGCCATTTGCTGCCAAAGAAAGTTATCAGAAACAGCTTAAAATTAAAAAACTAATGAAGTAGCAACTAAAACCTGAAGTAACCTGATTGCATGAGACTGCAGGGTTCAGGCAGTGCCCTGGGGTCAGTGGATGTGAATAAGGCTGCTTTTCAAGCTGCAAGGGCTGGTTTAAGCTGAAATCACTTCCAGATGGGTTGTTTGTCCCAGCTACCTACCCTGGTGAAGGAGAATCTGTGCACTGCTTGTCCCACTCCTCGCTCGGTGCTCCGCATGGTGAAGGAATTCTTTGGAGCTTTCAGAATAAGGCTTTCTGAGTTCTCAATACAGACACAGCCCTAAAGAACACATAAAATCCATCATTGCAGTGGCTTGCAGGAGGATAGACAGCATCTCCCAGCAGGCACACAGCCAGCTCAGACTCTGCTTCATTCAGTATCTCACCTGGTCTTCCCCCTTGTCTACTTCTGTAGATTTCAGAGGTCGAACTCTGAGGTAAACTTTTAATTTTCCATTATTGTCTTCAGTTACAGCCTGTAAGAATCAGCACAAGTTAAATATGTCAGCCAGAGAGGCAGCACACAACCCCCCATGGGAACACTTAACAAGAACCACAATATGGAGCACACATGTTGGCTATGCTGCTAGTGCTGAGGAATTTCTCTGGTCCCAAAATCACCAACAATGCCAGAAGCTTTCTTAGGCTTTTCCGAGCACACCAGCATTATTTTTTTTCTTTATCTAATGGATCCAAGCAACAAGCCAAAGGTCTAACACCAAAACCAAGCATCACCCCAAGAAGCACTCACTGCCCACTGCTCTCCCAGGAACTGCTCCCCCTAAATGCAGTATTGAGAGTCTCTGTTATTTTTGCATCACACCTCTTTTGTACAGAGAACAGCAGGCACGAGTGAAAACGCTGCCCTGTTTGTTACAGGGCTCCAAGCTGACCTGAGAGCCCTCGAGGTTTGGGGAGATGGCAGAGAACTCCGGCAGCAGGTCCTTGCGCAGGTCAGCCCCAAAGCCCGTAGCTGTGGACTCGAGCACAGGGGAGGCTGCAGCCTCATCGTCAGAAAACAGCCCTGGGGAGGCAAGTGCTTGTGCCATGGTGCCTCACACGCTCCTGGGAAAAAGGGGAAGGGACAGGGTGGTGTCACAGCAACCCCCGCACATCCATCGGTCCCCACAAACACGGGTCCCCACGTGGAGCCCTCCCTACACACATTGCAAGGTGCACACATATACACACAGCCCCTGCACACGGAGAAATCGCACAGAACCCCGGACACAGCCCGTGCACACACAAACACCACCCAGGACTCCAAACCCACCTCCCGGACATACGGACACCATACCGGTGACATGCACACAGACACCCCATTAACACAGGGTACCAAACAGACCTAACGCACACACCAACCACCACACAGGACACCCCCAAGCCCAGACGCAGCTCGTCGCCGCTCCCCCACACAGAGCCCAGCACCACGCGGGTCCGGCCGCGCTCACAGGGACACAGGGACCCACCGACACCGCCGGCCGCCCCTCTCGCCGCTCCGGCCCCGCTGCCGCTCACGCCGCCCTTCGCTCGGCGTTTCAAACCTCGCCGCCCGCCCGCTCCGCCAATGGGAGCTCGGCATGGGAGCCTCTCGACCAATCAGCGCCCGCTCTTGGGACGGAGGGGGCGGGGCCCCGGGCAACCGGCCGGCCGCGCGTGCGCGCATACGGCGAGGGGGCGTGGCGGCGCTCGGCCGCCTCCCGGCGGGCTTTGCGCGCGGTGCCGCCCCTGCCGCCCTCAGGGCCGGGCGGGGAAGATGGCGGCGGGGCCGGGGAGTGAGTGCGAGGCTGGGCGGGAGACGCGGCGGGGAGCGAGCGGCGGCGGGGCTGGGGAGGAGAAGGGGCAGGGGAATGGCCCGAGGAGAACGGAGCGGTTCCGGAGGACCCTCCTGGGAAGAACCAACGGGGGCGCGGGGCGGGGCCAACGGGTCTGGGGAGGGGCGGGGCCAGGTGTTGGAGCCCCGGGTTCGAGTCCCGGTGTTCCCGGGACTGTCCCCACACTCCTGCCCTGTCCCGCAGAGCACAAGCTGCTGAGCGCCGGCCCCACCGAGCCCTGGTCCATCCGCGAGAAGCTCTGCCTGGCCTCCTCCGTCATGCGCAGCGGCGACCAGAACTGGTACGGGAGCGGGAAAGGCGGGCGGCATGTGCACAGCACCGGGCACGGCACGGGGCTGTCACCGCGCTGCCTCTGTTCAGAACAAAAATGAGGTGTAAGAGGTGTGCAGGGTGTACCTGCACAGGCATTGTGTTGGCCTCATAACTACTGAGTGAACCCAGAGGTGTGGTAATCAAAATAAAGAGCGATGAGAGCTGGAGAGGGAGTTTGAACAAGGGCTTGGAGTGTCAGGACAAGGGGGAATGGCTTCAGACACAGAGAGGGAGGGTTAGGTTGGAGATTAAGAAAAAGTTCTTTACTGTGAGGCTGGTGAGGCACTGGAAAGGGTTGTCCAAAGAAGTTGTGACTGCCCATCCCTGGAAGTGTCCGTGGAGCAGCCTGGGATAGTGGAAGATGTCCCTGCCTATGGCAGGGGGTTGGAACAAGATGATCTTTAAGGTCCTTCCCAACCCATTCTATGATTCTGTGTTCATAATTAGATGAGGTGAGTTGTGGACAACAAAGATATTTGGTAACAGATTCCTGTGCACTGAACCTGTAGCTCTATTTTACTGTATTTTTCTCCTCACTAAAGTAAGGGTTTTGTGGAAATGTAGTCACATAATCAGATACAAGAAACTTGCTTTTCAAAGCAAAGGAGTAAAATTACTGTTTATTAGAAGCAGGTAAATATTTTTGAGACTTGTAAATCCTTGGTGAGTTTATCATGTGTAGCAGGGTTATTCAATGAGGTATAGAAAGGTTTTCATCTTTTCTGTGCATGTTGATTGTGGGAGAAGGTAAATTGATGGTGACTTGTCATTTCCCTCCCACAGGGTCTCAGTCAGCCGAGCCATCAAACCTTTTGCAGAGCCAGGACGCCCACCTGACTGGTTTTCACAAAAGGTGAGGCACTGACATTTGAATCCTGGGCACCAAATCTCTGCACAGTTGTAAATGCCATATTGAGGATGAATTTAGGATTAATTGTTCTGTGTTTTATCCAGTACACAGTTACTAAGTAAGGCTATGTGATTATGATCTGAAGTTCCTTGCCTTGGGAATTTGTGGATGTCCATGTATTTTGGTGTGTCCTGCTGTTTGGGCAAGCAGACTGTCCTCTGACTTCCTTTGTTTCTTTCCAGCACTGTGCATCTCAGTACTCAGAGCTCTTGGAGACCACAGAGACCCCAAAGTGAGTACAAAGTGTGACCCCAGCACAGCCTGCAGCAGCTCAGGGGGCACTCCTGGGTTCTTACAGCAAAGTCCTTGTCACTCTTAAATTACTTTTTGTCCCCCTAACCAATTCCTCCCAAAAGGAGCATTTCAGAATGAGAAAATTCAGCTGGAATAGCTGTTGTGGGACAGTGGGATCAGGGTTTGTCAGATGGGAAAGTTAATATTTATTTGACTGGAATAAAACACTGCATATTTGCCTTACTGGTCAGAAACTTTACACATAAATTTATCATTCAGAGTAGGGGTAGAAAAGAGAAGGATTGAGATGGGAGATGTTTTGTATTTGTCACTATTTTGCAGTGGTTTCTTACAGTTTTCTTATCAGTGTTGTCACTACAGCTCTGTGATGCGAGTGAAATTTGCTGAAGAGATTGTTTGAACATTGTGCTGCCCAATATAATTTAAGGGAAGTGGAGGAAGTTGATTCTTTTTGGATGAGCATGTCATGCATGACAGAAAGTAGCCATTTATGAAAGAGGAACTGAGTTTTCTTGTGGTTTGTGTCTGATTTTCTCTTTTCTCTTATTCTGTAGAAGAAAACGTGGTGAGAAGGGAGAAGTTGTGGAGACAGTGGAAGATGTTATTGTGCGGAAACTGACTGCAGAAAGGGTTGAGGAGTTGAAGAAAATTATTAAAGAAACACAGGAAAAATACAGGTACATGACAGAGGTTTTAAAATATTGCACACCTTAGAGCCCTATCCTGAAAAAGTAATCCAAGTGGGATGAAAATTGGGGGTGATTGGGGTGAAAATGCTGCTTAAGCTGTGCAGTTCAGTGATCAAAATGTAAAAAGATTTTATGATTACAGGCAACTCAAGAAGGATGCAGAGCTGATCCAGGCTGGACACATGGACAACAGACTGGAGGAGCTGTGCAATGAGATTATGATGTGGGTTATTTCATTATTTCTTCTGAGATTGTGGTTTCCTGACTCTCTGTTTGGCAGCATCTCTTGCTCCACATAGTTAGGGTTAAGAGAAATGGGGCTGGGCAGATGCTTTGGCCTCTGAGAGCTTGGACTGGGGGAGAGCAGCTGGTGTGGAACATCCTTTGGGGTTGCTCAGTAAAGAGCTTGGCCATGGCTTGCAGAACCATGTTTGCAGCCTCCATTCTGGCAATCATCTGGAAGTGAAATTTCCTGCCCAGTTTGTCATTCTCTGGCTCTGCTGCTCGCCTTGGGGGGTTTGAGCCTGAGTGGTTTGATGTTGTCTGGAGATAACAGAGTGGGCATCAGTAAAACACATTTTGAAGGGGAAATTAAGGGGAACTAAGACACCCTGTGACAGCAGGTTTTTGTACTTTTTACAGAAAGAAAAAAATGGAAGAGGAGGAAGCAGAGGTCAAGAGGAAGGCTACAGATGCTGCTTATCAGGGTAAGCTGGAAATTAGGTGCTTTCGTTTTCCTCAATGCATATATTCATAAGAACATTTAGAAAATACTGAATTCTTGTTAAGACCTGCAGGAGGAATTCCTTGACCCTAGAGTTGGAGAGAGAGGCTGTATTCTCTTTCCAGCACTATATTTATAACAGGGTAAAAGGCACAGGCTTCTGAAAAAGGAATAAAACCTTCAGGAAAGGTGTATCCAAAGGAAGGCAGGGTTAATAAGGAGCTCTGTGTTAGAATGTCAGGCTTTTCACACCTTTAGTTTCCCTTGGTCACTGAGGACAAGAGGAAGAAACTTTTGTTCTGAATGTTTAGTTCTTCATAACTCTTGGGGCATTTAATGTGGTGGTGGGAGGTGGTGAATACCAAACTGCTAGAGAAACCTGCAGCTGGAGTGCATTACCCAAAGTCACTATTACTGGGGAACTGAGCCTAGTGGGGGTGCAAGAAATTCCTGTAACATACATTGTTCTCTTAAAATTATTCAGGATAAAGTCAAAGGTAATTCTTTGGGCCACTCCACGATGGAGTCACAGACTCTCACTGTAGTTTCTGTTCTCTTGCAGCTCGCCAGGCCATTAAGAACCCCCCTCGAAGGCTGACGGGGGTGATGGTTCGTTCTCCTGCAGGCTCCACCTCCCCGGGCGGGGATTATTCCCTCGGAGATCTGTCCCAGCCCGCTGGGGATGAGGCCAGCCCAGGGGTGAGGATCCTTCTCTGGGTAGGAGGGAAAGCCCAGCTTGGGACGTGGGGCTCTGCACCCATCCCAGAGGAGGGGCCTGGGGAGAAGCCCTTGCCTTGCTGTGCAGATTTCAGGTGCTGCAGTGTGGTTGGTGACGGTGCTGCTCGAGATCCATCTCCTCTTCCCTGTCTGTGGTGATCCAGTGCTTGGATCAGAGGCCTTGTAGGGGCATCAGTGGGTTGGCCAGGCAGTCTGTGAGTGCCTGGGAGCTGGCTCTGCAGGGCAGGGAAAGGGTGAAAGCACATGCCTGGAGTAGGGGCAGTGAGTGAATGCAGTAGGTGTCTGTGGTGTGCTGGATCAATGCTCTTGGGGGAAGCAGCAAGCGGGGCTGGTCCGTGTGGTGGAGTGTGGCTTTGAACAGTGTGGTTTTTCTCTTTCTCAGGTCACGCCAGGGACATTGCCCAGCACCCCAGTTGCCTCCTTCATTGGAATCCCTGACACCCCTCCAGGCTCTGCTCCCCTGGATGCCCCCATGACCCCAGTCACTGATGATTCACCCCAGAAAAAGATGCTAGGACAAAAAGCAACTCCGCCTCCTTCCCCTCTGCTCTCAGAGCTGCTGAAGAAGGGCAGTCTCCTGCCCACA